ACATAAAATTGGTCATTATTCAGGAACCCCATGCAACGCAATAGTACAGTCTCACAACAAAAACAAACCAAATAATACAGATTACAACTTTGGACAAGTATAACGAAGTTTTATCCTAATTAGTAAAAAATCTATCCAAATGTTGCATACGTCATTTATACGGATCAAATAGGTTATCAACTACAACGTAAAAAAAAAAACCAAAAAAAAAAAAAACTTCAAACATTACTTGCACATTCAGCCTATTGAAAATATGAAACAAATTTGAAATTATTTCATTTTTACTGTAGTTAAGTATCAGTAGCTTAGGCTTATTGAGTCATAATTTGCTTCACCACGTAATCTTCCGGCCCCGAAACCTCGACTCAGAAATACCGGGATGGTGTCCGGCGTGGGATAGATTTACCTCTAAACTGTTCTTAGGCTTAAATTAATTTTTTTTTTAAAGAATTAATTATATTATTATTTAAGAGAGTTACATGGTAAAGGCTTTACTTTCAATGTAATTCCTTACATCTCATTTTCATATTTTCATTATTTTTTAGACATACGTTAAATTTTCTATTGTAATGATAATACTGTGTATGAATATGAATGTGACTTTGTGATAAAAATCGAAACTAAATAAGTGAACATTTATGTATGTTAATTAAAACGGCTGTTTTTAATATAAGTTCACCATCTGGTACGTTATTTGACTTCATTTTTAATAAGAAAGAATTAACTGAATATTTAAAACTGCTAAGAAATAATTCACTACTACTACCACAAGCATAGTATATTTTTAGGCAACTTGATAAAATTCTTAACGATACTGCATATCACATCCAGAGCATGAAAAATATTCAGTTTTATAATGATTGTAAAAGATAATATATACCGTAACTAACTAAATAAAAGACAAAAAACATGCCTTTGTCTGTATATTTATTCCTGATAGTTCTAGTATGCAACATTATTTTCTATGAATAAATATATACCTTTTTTAAGCACTTCTCTTAAATATATGTCAAGCGCAGATCCAGAGTTTACCCTGGCTATCGCACAGATGGGTTCCCATGGTGGGAGGGGTCATGAGAAAAGAGCGAGCTTGTTATGTCGCTGGAAGACAAATTTTAGATATGGGGTGGTGGAGTCTTCGGGTTCTCCTTCGAAAAGTTTTTGTTTTCTAGATGCCTTGAAATACACTTCGTGCATTATGAGACGTCTATTATTGAATACACTCTGAATTCATAGTTTTTCCCTACTTTGCTATCGACAATTAATAATTATGATGATCAAGAAGATGATGATGAGGAGGAGGAAGCTGTGCTAGATTAATTAACAGGCCCTTTAATGTGAAGAAGTGTCAAGCGAAACCCGTAGCCTAAGTTACGGTTGAGAATTTGGAGACATTATCGTCGTCGTCAAATGTTCAATGCACACAGTCGGACAATAGATGATTTATGATATCTGTTTTTATATTCAGTACATTCTCAAATGTTATATAAATCTCATAGGCCTATATCCCAAAATTACGTTATATTCACCGAAGTAGAAGGTTCAACTTAATTATTTTTATATGTTTTATGTTTTTTGTTGAATGCTTCTAACCTTCTTAACTTTGCGTATCTCTAAATATACATATATATTTCCTCAAATCAAGGAAGTCCACTCGTTAAATTATTATTATATATAGTATAGGGAATTTTGTCTGTCAATCTCAGATATCCAAATTTTAGGAAGTCCATTCAGTAAACAACATAAAATATATGTTTTATGTTGTTTGTTGAGTGGAATTTTTTTAAATAATAACAATAATACAGTCTAATATGACTACAACATAAGAAAGTCCACTCTGTAAATGTTTAGCATAATATTGTACAGAGAATTTCGATTGTTTATCAATATCATTATACACATGTTAGACCCAAATAACGTTTTATGCAAGCACCGACGAGGAAAGATTAAACATAATCATTTTGATATGTAGGGCCTACATGTTTTATGTTATAGAAAGTATAAAGTAAAAAACAGCAGCACTTTTGAGACTGACAATATATAATTTATTCTCTAGCTTTCGTCCACACAGTGGACTTCATCAGGAGACTGTGAACATGTTTTAACATGTTTTATGTTATGTATTGATTGGTCTCAGTTAATGATATTACAATTTAATGGTTTAATGGCCCCGGAACCATGAACCCCTACCTGTGGCCCTTGGCGGCCCCCTAGCCCCAATTATCAGTGCTCGCGATTCGCTCGCAACCTGACCAGTTCAATTTCCGTGGCTACGGCCCTGCTATAGGTCGGTAAAAATCTCTCTGTCAATGTAAAGTTTTCTTGCGTAATACCAGCAAGAATACGATGCCCTGTAAGGACATAGTTTATTAAAAAAGAGTTTTTCATCGGGACCACCAACCCCACCACCCCAAGGTCAAGGTGAGGGGTGGGTGGGGATCGTTGCATTTGGCCGGACCAATAAAAATTGCTTCCGACGCGCCTGACAACGAATCCGGTACCGGATCTTTAAGACCTGGAAATAACGGATCCGGTACCGGACCTCAAGCCACAGTGATAAAATAATCTTGTTACTGTTGCTCTAATATAATAATAATAATAATAATTTATTGGGAAACTACACTTTTGAAACAGTGGCACTCTTCAAATGATAAAGGTGCGTCCAAAAAAATAAGATAAGATAAGATAAGATAAACTTTTATTTGTCCAAACATTAAAACATGTTGGAAATTCGTTTTCCATGGCGTATTTACATACAAAATACTGTACATAGTAAAAATCAATAAAAAACATATATAAAATACATGAAAATACATAAAATATTATTCTTATTAACAATTATTATCACAATGTAATCATTATTACAATCATTATCATTACGATCAATGCTCTATATGAATGTTTTATTATATTTATTATTACTACTACAACCATCATCAAATTATCTTGATGCATATTTATTATATAATCTAATTGAGTTCATTACAAATGAAAAATTGTGTCTGTTATGTATCGAACGAGGAGCTCGTAATCTCAGACCAGAACGCATAAATACATAGTGATTATGTAAAGGGTGGGATTCGTCCAACATAATTAAGTCAAGCTTTTTCCTAACATTCTCCTCATATAGAACATTGATCGTAGTGATATCACAATCAATGCACCGTTCTGCTGACCGTCTTACTCTCTCAAACTTCTTATTTTCTTTACTAAAATTTCCAAAAATATATTAAATATAAAACAAAGATTAAGTATACTCTGTATAACCGATCTTTAAAAAAGTAATAAAATTGATTTATTTAAAAACAAGCTTCTTAACTTTCGGAGAAAATACAATCTTACAGTTGCCTTACTGGCCAGTTTATCAGCGTGTGCATTCCAGCCTAATTTATTGTCAATTGTAATTCAAAGATAGCAATATTCATGAACTCTTTCCACGCATTCACCATTAATAGTTACCGGATCATGTGTAGATTGGTTGCGACTAAAATCATAAATAATCTCTTTTATTAGGAAATGATCGCTGCACCATGTAACAAACTGTTTAATTTCATTCATATAGTTGGATGTATTATTATTTTTTATAAACCCACATATGACGATATCGTCAGCATATTTAATTATACTTACATTAGAAGAAATTCTGCAACTACTTGCATACACAGTAAAAAGAACTGGGGACAGCACACATCCCTGAGGAGCACCAGTGTTTATTGTGCGTATTCTTGACTTTATATTATCAACTTGGGTTAGTTGCTCTCTCCCAAAGAAAACTCTGTATCCATATAATAAGTTTAGGGTTAATATTCATATCTATTAGCTTTTTTTACCATGATGTGGGGTTGTATAGTGTTAAATGCACTACTAAAATCTATAAATAAAGATCTCACAATTTGTCTCGGTTTTTCAAGATGGTCAACAATTCCGTGCAAATAGCATAATACTGAATCGTGTACCCCTCTTTTACTTTTGTACGCAAATTGTGTGGGATCAGGGACCACACCCTTATCAGATAACAAGGATTTCAAAATAATTTTTTTGAAGCACTTCATAACAGTGCTAGTTAATGCCACTGGGCGATAATCATTCAGTAATAGAGCTTTTTTCCCTTTAGGAACTGGTGTAATATACGCAGTCTTCCATAACTTAGGAACAATGTCCTCATTAATTGACATTTGAAAAACGTGTCGAAAATTGGAGCTAGTTCATTGCAACAATGCTTAAGAACTTTGTTTGGGACGTGGTCGGGACCCGATGCTTTATTTAATCTAACTTTATTAAATACCTGTCTAACTAACTTCACTTTCAGAAATACATATTTCCTCACTTCCTTCCAAATTCAATAACTTTGTTTTAAGACTATTCATTGCGTTACTAAAGTCCCTGTTATCGAACCTACAATAAAAATCATTTAGTTCATTAACAAATGCATGGGTAGCTTCAATCCTGTTCTTTTTCAATTTGAAACCTGTTATCTGTTGCAATTGCAGACCTTTCACGCATCCCTACTATATGATAATAATACTTCAAACAGAATACAATACACTAAAGAAAACAAAGTATAAATTGAGTAACCGTCATTCAAGCATTTGACAAGCACCCCACCCCTATCCAATACCCACCCTCGTCAAACAAAGTATTATATGCAATGATGCTCTTTATATTGCATTGTTATAGGCCTATCGCCAGACGTCCTCAGGTGTGTTCCCCGGATATCCAGGTTATGGTCATTGTTCTTTAAACTTGGGTTCCAGGCCCTGGGGTTGATTCGCACCGACTCCGAATTTGGTTTGTAGAACGTTTTCGATGCGGTTCTTAGTACGTGCCTCTATTCTTTACTACTGATTTGATTTTCTTTTTTCGCTTCGTTACACGCACGAACCGAATTCGGATTCGGTGTGAATACGCCATGAAATTATTATATTCTTTTATTGCACTCATAGCGCGCCATATCAAATATATTTGGGGCGTCCCATACGCTTTTAAGTCACTCGTTGATGGCGCTGTCCAGATTTGCAGCTAGGCCCTAGATTAAAATAAGGGTTTTTTGTTTTTGTTTATTTGACCGAATTTTAAGTTGATAAAAAGGTAAATTTATGAATGATTGTGAGGGAAAATTGAAAAGATGTATTGTGCTAGGCCTAGCCTACTAGTCTAGGGCTAGAGTCTTAGTATTACTATACTAGGCCCTAGGCTAGGCCTAGCCTAGGCCATCAAAGGCCTGGCCGCCCTAGCTAGGCCTAGTACTAGTAGCCGGCTATAATAGTAAGTAGAGAGAGTATGGCCTAGCCCTACTACTACTACTACCAAAGATTGAAAGGGAAATGGCCTCCAAAATGTGAAATCACCATGGCTGCCATTTGAGCAAGCAGAGTGAGAGCCCGCAGTCGAAAAAAAATACCCTGGATGTTTATGTAAACAAGGCCATTCAACAACATGACGCTCATATCTCGGGACACCAAGTTATTAATTGTATAACTCCAGCATCAACATTTTACGCGCCGCACACCCCTACACGCTCGGGGGCGGATCCAGAGCCTATCAATACTACCCTAGTTAGTCTGGGTGCATGCCCCTGAAAAATTGTGCAAAAAAGGGTGGGGACTGGGGCCGGCCCCGGGGCCCCCTCCAAAATCCGCTTGACTGAGTTTAACATGCCTTGATTGTCACAAAAACCATAGCAACCAAACCATAATTGACTGTCAGCGTGTAAAATGTTACCCATGTTAGGTTAGTTGCCATGATAATCACGCATCATGCGGTGACTACAAAGGCCTACTTCGCAGGAAAGATAATTTTTCTGTATCTACACAAGTGTTCATTTCGTGGACCTTAGTCCAAAATTGTTAAAATGACAGTTTAATATTTAATTAATAATATAAGAACATGATTTTTGAGCCTTACTGACTCGTGGTCAATAGAAATTAAATGTAAACAAACATTGCGAAGTACCCAAAATTAATAAAATATTAAAATTCAATTCAATTTATTCAATAACTATCTAACACCATAAAAGGTATGACATGCATAAACTAATAATTGACAGCTGTGCTACCAACTAGTACTCTATTGTCGATGCTACAGTTAAGATTAAAGGACTGTACGCACGCTATGTTTGCGAGCGGAGATGTGCATCCTGTTGTTGAATTGCCTTGATGTAAACAAGTGTGGCTTAATGTGATTAGACACAATATGCAGAAGCCAACTTTACTCATACGTGATACAGAATATTATCTCTCTAAGTGCCAAAATCAGTTTTTCACATTACAAATGTATACAAAATGTAACAAATGTATACAAAAATGAAATTTTAAAAAATTATTCGGCGGTTTAATTGTAATTAGTTTCTTGATTTCAATCAACTAGAACTCATTTGAGGTTTATTACCCTTTTCCTACGAACACGATCTTTTTAGTTTTTAAAATGACGGCCGATGCGGTCAAACTCCCTAATGGAGCAAGGGTGGCGCCAGGGCACCCTTCGGGGAGAAAACCACAATTCGTCTGGGAGCCCCTGGGAGAAAAACCACAATTTGTCGGGGAGAAAACAAATTATTTATATGTATATTCGACATATTAGTAGACTCTAAAATCGATTAAACATTACCTTTGAAACCCCTTGTCGGTTTGAGTGATGCCCGACCACGCCCACTTTTCTCTTGTTGGGAACATGGGTCTCCCGTTCGGAGAGAACTAGCTCTTTCCCCCCCCCCCCCCAAATATGGAGGCATTGCCATTTGGGGGAGGGGTTGGTGGTGATGGTTTTTCTGTGTGTGTATGAGACGCTTTTTTTTGTTTTACTGTTCTTAATACTGGTTCAAAATGTATTAATAATATTTTTTATTAGGTTAATAAAAAGTGATAATATCATAATAAATTAATAACAACATTGTTATAAAAGCATATTTTAACTATCATTCAATAACTTCTTGTAATTAATTAAACAAATAATTAGCGTTAAAATCCACACATAAGTATATAACACGCATTTTCTATACTTGTTTACGCAAACACCGGGTACTTTGCCCGCTGGAGTGTTCAGGTTGCTTGCGTAGTTTTGCTATATGATCTTTGCTACTACTGAATTCTTTAGCTGAAAGACTGTCAATACACATCGTTCGATCGCCATCATTTATATCTTATACTGTACTACTAGTTTATTTAATACCTCCTGGTACTACAGTGCAGTAGTACCATTGCTGCGTTCGTTGATTACTGTACCTGCAATGCCAAAGTACAATAAAAGGAATACTGGGTTGAACATCTACTACAGAAGACAAAAAATTAGGCTGAAGAGAGAGAAATGCAGGCGGCCAGTCCCAGCAAGGTAAGTCTTCAACACTAATTTCAATTGCAAACTGCAGTGTTAAGCAACAACCATCAGTGGTAGATTCCAGGTTAGAGGCAGGGGGAGGAGCCCATCTATGCCCCTCCCCCCCTAAATTTTTCTATATAATTTTTGGGAAAAAATAATTATAATCTCAGAGTGCCATTTCTGGCCATCTAGCGCCCCACTTCCCAAACTTATCCGTTTGGTACCCAAGTTGTGATTTCCCATACTAGCCGAGACTTATCTAATTATAGTCATGAATAATTGTTCTCTTTTATCGTCGAAACAAATCACAGCGTTAATATATACTAGATACGAAGTGAGGAAAAAACCACCAAGTAGTAAAATAAAAATGGACAATTGTAAGGTGCCAGTGTCCGCAAGGTCACCCATGGTGCCAGAACCCAGCAAGACATAAATTTAATGAAATAGGAAAAGTAAAGTAAGAAAGAAAAAACACATGAGAAAATTACTAGGAGAAATGCTGGTCAAACGATACTTCTTTAATTCTGAATGTGGTGATAATTTCTGGAGATCTGATTTGTGTTGCCAGTGGATTCCTGACTTTTGGAGCAGCAGCGAAAAATGATCAATTTCCCCAGTTCTTGACATTGTGTTCTGTTAAGTCCTGTCTAGACAATCAAATTTTATTGACAAAAATATGTGTCATGCCTAAATATGGCTGGATGACCATATATAGTCATTACTATATATGGGCATACAATTTTTTCACCAGAAAAAACAATAACAAGTGCATTTACACCATCAAATTAAAAATTTTAGAGTTTGTATGACAAGAACAAAGATGTGTGGTGTCAACACACACTTTGAAACATTCATATTTAAAATTCTTTTTGTTGTATTTTATTCTAGTGATATAGGTAAATTTGACTGTATATGTGAAAGAGTATCATTGGTAGCTTTACATGAGACAGAGAGAGAGAAAAGTAAGAAAAGTATTAACTGCTTTTATTTAATTTATAAGTTTATTTTAATATTATACACTGCAACTTACCATTCATGCTTGCTTGAAATTAAAAATTTTAGTGGAGCCCTTGGGACTTGCTGTAGCCACATTGCAGTAGAGTGTCGCCCAATCCACAGGCCAGAACAAATAGCTACAAACACTGTTCTTTTATCCATCTTACTTTTATTCAAGGAGCTTAATGATCAGACCTAAATTCAAATTTCATTGTCATAGCTGAGTCTGAAGTTTAATAAAAACACTCAGATTCGAATATTGCTAAAGATACACTATATTTATTTTGAGTTTTTAGACCACTCGTTAGAACGATTGGTCTAATATGCCATCACATTTGAGCATAAAACACTTGCTATCAGACAATATTTGTCTGTAATCAGTGCTTTATTGAGGATAAAGCTTGGAAAATTAAAAGTATGAAATGTTTTTGGGGAAAAGTGATGGGGAAATTCATTAAATATATGTTTTCAGAATATCCCTTGTATTAAACATAGGATGGATTGTCAGAAACCGTGGTTGTTTGTTGGTCGCATTTGTATCATACTGCTTAATTCCACAGCCACTCACTCTAAATAATCTGTAATTCCTTGTGTCAAATTGTTGCAGTTGAAAGTTAATTAAGCTAATTTTGGTTTATTAATGGAGGAATTTGCTCCATGGTTTGTTTAAATGAATATTAATTAAAATTTTTTATTGATTGAATGTTTTTTCTAGATTGTTGTCATTCAAAATGGTGTTTATAAGGCTCAAGTAGATCATAAATAAATATAAGCCTATAATCAATTGTGATTTTCCTCTTGAATATAGGCATGCCTTTATTCTGACATCGTTAATGGGGCCTAATTGCAGTTACCTACTCAGTGCCTTGGATTATGATTCTTCAAAAACAACAGGTGTGTGATACAATTTTTATATTGCCAAGTTTTTGTGAATACAAAATACAATCATACAAATTTGTCGACTACCATGCCTTATACTTCAAAATATTGTACCCTGAACAAAAATAAGATTTCAAGAATATAGTATAAAAATATATTTACTTGATTGTAAGAATGTAAGCAGAGCTTATATGTCCATCATAATTATTTAGATCAGTTCATATTGCAGTATAATTGTAGTAAAACTATTCCTGGTACAGGCATTTTTAATGCGCCTTTTTGCTTGTGGTTATAAAGCACACAATATAATGGGTGATTTCTGTGAACATTCATGAGAGCAGATTTAAGAGATTTAATACTTTCTGCAGAAAGTACATTCTCGGGAAATGCATTTCATTTGTTAGTGTGAACAAGCAGAAAATGCAAATTTATGGAAGATATGACTGAAGTGTTCCTTGCAAATTTTTAATGTGTGTCCTATGGTTCTTCATTCTCTATCCATCTCAAAAAAACTTTCACTGCACAAGTCCCTTTAGGATTTTAAAGATTTGGATGAGATCAGAGCGTAATCTCTTGTAAGCTAATGATGATAGATTTAACTTTTTAAGTTGCTCTAATGATATAGCAAATTTAGATTTTGCAGAAGGCAAAGTTTGTAGTGATTTGAATTTCTTTTATTGTTGCTATAACATTGATGTAGCATATGAATTGTTCAAGGCTTCAATAATGTTTGAAAATATTTGAACAATATTTTGTTTTATTCGTTTTTTATTTATTATTAGCAATAATATAATTTAGATAGCACCCCCCCCCTCTCCACCTAGTTACCTGTAGGTGTGCAGCACTGCTGGGTGCCAGGTGTCCGAAGTTGCAACCGCACTTCTTTTAGTAGTCATAAATAACTGTTCTTTTTTTATTGTCAGAACAAATCACAACCTTAACATACTAGAGAGAAGCGAGCGAGGCATTGCAGATACAGTAATTATTGAAAGCAGCAGTGGAAGTAGTAATTAGTGAGATCATGGTGCCGGGACCAAGCTTGAGATGGAAGAAAGAAAGATAAGAAAAAAAGAAAGAAAACAAGAGAAAATTACTAGGACAGGGGAAATGCTGGTCAAATGATGTTTGTTTAGTCTGGATGTGAGGATACTTTCTGACGATCTGATTTGTGTCGCCAGTGAATTCCCAACTTTTGGAGCAGCAGCGAAAAACTGATCAGTTTCCCCAGTTCTTGACATTGTGTTCTGTTAAGCCTTATCCACACTATCAAATTTTATTGACAAAAACATGTGAGGCCCCTAAATATGGTCATGATGACATCTTATAACCATATATAGGCACATCATGACTATATATAGGCATTCAGTAGTTTTCTGTCAAAGAAAATTTGGTAATATATATATATTTTATGATTAATTTTTATTTTTTTGATTTGCAGTACATTACCAATGGCAACGACTGACTGGGAGGCAAGCTGGAAGGCTGGAAAAATTGGTTTTCACTCCAAGGCACTTAACCCGTTAGTAGTTTTATGATTATATTTTGATTTTTATTAAGACATAAAAAGAGGACAATTCAAAAGGAATTTCCACTAAGCCCTTCCACTTTTGGATCTTTTAGCTAAGTTTGCACAATAACATAGAATTTGTTGGACACGTGTGTGTTTGTGGCCAAGCATTATATTGGTCAGTTGTTGGGTTTTAATGACGTTTCGGATAGGGTCCGCTTTATCCAGATGGTTTCATTTTTCAACATCTGATTCACCAATTTATATTTGTTGTTTTTCATTAGTTTATGATATCAAATAAATCAAATCAAATAAATAAAGTAGTTAAATCAGCATTACAAAATATAGGTGCAATAAAAAAACAATGAAAATGCACATTTTTAGCCCATTATTAATTATTAGTAATTAATTAGTTATTAGTAATTATTTGAGTAGTCATTTTTAAAACATGAGCATTACATTTTTTTATTATTATTATTCTTTCTTTAGGCACACAACACATGTGCCAAGGATTGCCAATAGCGAATATATATCACTGTCCTTCTTGTAGGTGACAATCCCTTACACAAGACAAACATACACACACGATGCTTTACACAAACTAAATCTCAATATGAGATTTAGGGAGTGGAGTTGTTTATGTTGTGAGAAAAAATCCTGCAACTGGCAGGAATTGAACCCAGGACCCTGGGATTGGAAGGCAAGCATCTTAACCACCAAGCTATTCAACTCCGCTTGTGGGATTTTATAAAAGAGGAGGTCAGATCAACTAAACTGGTGGTAGCCACTGTGTGTGCACTGAACCATAATTTTTGGTCCCTGGTTCAATTCAATATGTTACTGGGAATGATTTATGTAAGCCTAAAGCAGACATCCTAACTACTCCCATTAATGATGTGCTAGTGTCCTAGGAGCTTCATACATTTATCTTTTATGAATAGACTAACTGTGAATTTATTTTTTGTCTTTTAAAGTATGTTGGAAAAACACGCAAGTAAGATACTTGATGGCCAAAAGAATTGTAAAGTTTTTGTTCCGCTTTGTGGAAAATCTGTAGACATGAAATGGTAGGCAGGTGTTTTAACCTTTTTAACAGCTACTCATTAATTGTGCTATTTTAAATGTTTTCATGATTTTTGGTCAGTCAAGCCCCCCACCCTAGTGTGACATCATTGGAGAAAAACATAGATATAATGCCTTGACATAGGGCACTATTGAATACACATTGTGGGATTCAAATCCATGATTTTATGGTTGACCCCTTCGCCAACTTCTACAAAAACAATTCAAATATAAAAATTATGATTTTCTATTTAATGAATCTTCTGTATCAATCTGCACCAAAGTCTCATAAAGCTATACATTGGGATATTAATAAATAATATTATCGTTACTATGTTTTTTTGTCATTCAGATGGGATTCGAACCCATGACCTCCAGATAACTAGCCTGGTGCCATGATCATGTGACTACCGAGCTTGCGCTTAGTGACTAGTGTTGAATACAATTCCCAAGTTGCAGCAGGCACTGCAAATGCTATTTCAATGTGTGGTTGCTTCAGTCAAATATACTGTAGTAGGCATGATGTTTTGCCTACGTCACAGTATCGTACCAAATACTCAGTACGTTCCTAAATACTTCAATTTGGGAATCGAACCCACAACCTCTATTGTGTCTTTTGAAAGTATTTGGAAACATACTAAATAGTGTATTCAGTATGATAAACATCACTCCTATGATATTTTTCTGACGCAAACTCTCATCGAAATAGTATGTTGTTATTTATTTGAATGTTACTTGGTTGTTAGGTTTGCAGATCAGGGGCATAATGCTGTTGGTGTTGAAGTTGTTGAGATGGCTATTACTAGCTTCTATGAGGAACAGGGTATAGACTATACCAAGGAATCGGTACCAAAACTGCCAGGAGCAACTGTTTATAAGGTAAATGGCTTCTGGGTTTTACCTTTTCTTTGCTTACACTTTAAGCATACTGTTATTGGTGATGTCATTTTGTATTTTTCTGCTCAATTATCCATGTACTTTTTGTAACTTACCGTCTATCTACCTGCCTGTTTAGATGTGTCTGGTCATCATTATAATATTCTGTTAATATATTGATTTATTTTTGCAGAGTAAAGATGGCAAAATTACATTATATAATGCTGATATATTTTCAATGACAAGGTAAATGTTTTTGTAAACTTTAATCAATAAAGCAACCATGTCATGTGACTCTAGTCTCAAGGGAAATTGGTATACACCATATCAGGTCTATTTTGAAACAGCGCCACCAACGTCTCGCAACTTTTCACGGGGGGACATCCAGTGGTCTAGCCTGAGCAAATTGCGTTTTTCCAGACAAATATCCTCTTTTTTGACAACCAAAAACACAGGTGTTTTTTTTATTTTGCTTTTTTTTTTTGCATTTTGTTTCAAATTTGTATATTCTCTATTTTATTTGTCTTCTTCATTTCTTAATCAAATTTTTAACTCTTGCAAATCTTTTGTAGCAATAGTTTTTTTAAACTGTGGTCATTCCTTTGCCATCTTGGATTATGATTTGTATATTGGTTTATTGGCAAAATAAAGAATAAATAAATAAAAGGCCTAGGACTCTACAACAACATGGTTGTCCACCAGACATAGAGCACAGATAATCACGGGTAACTACTTAGAGCGAAATGTCAGGCCTATGGGTTTTTTTATGTTTTCATCGCAAATTTAGCGAAAATGGTGTATAGGAAGATGTTGGACCAGAAAAAACAATAACTAGATTTGAACTCGTCACTGAGGACGAGTTAGGTGATCCGCCGCACTTTGACCCACGAAGAAGTGTGCGCGGTGCAGATTGAGCAATACTTAAATGCTGAAAATTTCAAAATACGCTAATTTAGTTTGTTAAAAAAGAATTTGGAGCATTTTAAAAGATTTACTCATGCGTACGCCCACGTCATGACGCACGTGCGCATCTTAATGTCACTGTTGTCTCCTGATATGAAATATCAAACGCCTGTTGATGAAGGAGTAATTATCATTCATAGTATTTATCATATATAAAAATTCAGTTTCTTGAATTCAGATGGCAATATGGTGACGTCACAATATCCGATCAGCTATTATGATATATAAAATCATATCTACAACTCATGTGCTTTTAGAATATGTAATAAAATTTGGGGGTCACCTTTCATCCTAAGGAGGTATAACTGATTGAAAAAAGGCATGATATTAAGCACATTTTAAATTTGACGCATGCGTATGCGCGCGTTATGATGCGCGCACAGGAAATTAAGGTATGTAACAGTTAAGCATGACCTGAAGTTTATGCCCACTAAATATCATTCAGAAATCACAGCTGTTTAAGGTGATTATTGGGTCATTAAATGTTTGAGGAAAGAAAGATTGGGGGTCATCAAAAACCTTTGATTTGACCATGATGACGTCATCAAAATTTTAAAAGAAGTCACTTAATGAAAGAGAATTGCCTGAGCTATAACATATTCAAAGTTGGCAGACGATCGACCAAGAATAAGCAAGATACGCTCAAATGCGCATTTTTAAAAATGACGTCATAGATAAAATTCAGTTTGTTGAATTCAGATGGAATATGATGACGTCACAATATCCGATCGGCCATTATGAGCTAGAAAATCATATTTACAACTCGTGTGCTTTCAGAATATGTAATAAAAATTGGGGTCACCTTTCATCCTAAAGAGCTGTAACTGTTTAAAATTAGGCCTGATTTTATCAAAATTTCACTGTATGTCGGCACAAATGCGCACAAAGTTCACTATGTTTGATGCGTGCATACGGCATTGTTATTGGCCATAAGGTGATTGAAAAGATCGGAAACTTGTAAAAACAATTTCGCGTTCCGAAGCACACGCGTAAAATTAGGGTACAGTACATTTAAGATTGACCTGAAGTTAATGCTCACTTAATACGATTTCAAAATAGCAAATGGTTAGGCTGATATAATCGATAATGTAAAAACGCAAAATTGCGCGTAGCTGATGTCATGCATGACTGGTCACCTTGAAAACCTTACCATGTCTATTCCAGGCGATGCCAAAATGATCGTTGAAGCGACCTTGTGCGTACCTCGTAGCAATTTTTAGATATCGTGCGAACAAAAAAGGGGAGAAATTAAAAAAAAGAAGATGAAGAAGATGATGATGATCCTGACAATAACAAGAGATGATCCGCTCGAGAAGCGGATCACCAACAAGTACATTTACATCATCAATTTTAAAATTGTAGAGCTTGTATGACGAGAACAAAGATGTGCCGTATTGGTGTATAGGAAAATAATGGACCAGAACAAACAATAACAAGTACATTTACATCATCAATTTTAAAATTGTGTAGCTTGTATGACAAGAACAAAGATGTAACGTATTGGTGTATAGGAAAATAATGGACCAGAACAAACAATAACAAGTACATTTACATCATCAATTTTAAAATTTTAGAGCTTGTATGACAAGAACAAAGATGTAACGTATTGGTGTATAGGAAAATAATGGACCAGAACAAACAATAACAAGTACATTTACATCATCAATTTTAAAATTGTGTAGCTTGAACAAAGATGTAACGTATTGGTGTATAGGAAAATAATGGACCAGAACAAACAATAACAAGTACATTTACATCATCAATTTTAAAATTGTGTAGCTTGTATGACAAGAACAAAGATGTAACGTATTGGTTTATAGGAAGATGTTGGACCAGAAAAAACAATAACGAGTACATTTACATCATAAATTTTAAAATTGTGTAGCTTGTATGACAAGAACAAAGATGTGCCGTATACACATTATGAAATATTGGTATTTTACATATTTTTTTTGTTGTATATTTTCTAGTGATATTATTGGTAAATTTGACTGTATATGGGATAGAGCATCATTGGTAGCTTTAAACAAGACGGATCGAGAAAGGTATTAGAAAAGTATTAACTATATTTATTTAATTGAGTAAGTTGATGCTAATAATACCCTATTCAGATTACACTCTGTTGCGATGTAAACGCTGGTAATCCAAAACTAATTACTACCGATCGCAATCAACCAACGCATTCAGACCAACACAAAAAAACTTTACATTTTAGGGCCTAGGCCTCTGGTGGCTAGGCCTATGTTGACTGACCTCAGCCAAACAGTACCTGTGGGATTTGTTGCAATCTGATTCGGGAGTAATAAACATTGTAGCACCCAATCGCAATGGGTAACAGTTGCGATATCGATTGCTTATCGACTACTATTGATGAGCTTTCACACCTGATTTTACTTACAACTGATTGCAGTGTGATGCTAGTCTGAATAGAGTACAAGTTACATTTTTGTACCTCCTTGGTTGCATTTACCATTCTTGCTTTCTTGAAATTTAAAATTTTATAAGTGGGGGATCTGGGGACTTGCTGTAGCCACATTTCAGTACAATGCCAGCCTACATGTAACAGGCCAGTACAAATGAATACAAACATTGTTCTTTTACCTGATTAACTTGTATGTGAAGGTTAAAGGTGTTCTCCCGATATTTGGTTTAATTTCACCAGTAAAAATTGACAGCCAAACAGTAAGACCTGTGTGTTGGTGACAACAGTACCACCGATAAGGCCTATGTAGCCTAGGCCAGCCTACTTTCTGTAAACAACACATCATTCCTGTCTAGGCTTAGGGTACAAATTTATGTGCTGTTGATTTTTGAAGTCATTGAATTGAACCCTACCCCAAATGGCTAATGCCTAAATAAACCCTTAAATTTAGTGGTAGGTTGATGATCTAAGGATTTATGTAAATCCTTGTTTCAATATGTTGTAGTTGAAAGTTGATGACTTAATTGGTCTGTTTAAATAAGTACAGTAATTACAATTTTATTATTAATTGTTTTAATTTTTTCCATATTTTTATAGTTGAAAGTTGCGTTAAGTCTCAAGTAGATCATAAGCATATAATCAAATGTGATTTGCTCTTGAATATAGGTATGCCCCTACTCTGACGTCGTTAATGGGGCCTAATTGCCGTTACTTGCTCAGTGTCCTTGATTATGATCCTTCCAAAGCAAAAGGTGTGTGCTACAATTTTTCTAGTAATAGTTACCCATGCTGTCAACAAATGTGAATACAAAATACAATCATGCAATAATTTTTGCATACTACCATTATAAATCCAATGCACTTTAATTAAATACTTGGTTCAGTTCATCATTTATTGTTTTATAGTAGTAATTCCCAAAATTTATAGCATTCATTTTGAAAAGAAGCCCCCCTCTTTTTTTTGCAAAAGTAGCCTGGAAAAGAAGCCCATATCGAAAAGAAGCCCATCCAAAGTTTGCAAAAAAAAAAAAAGAAGCCCAGGACCTCAATTCAAGGTTTTAGGGTATTTTGCTGTTTGCCATCTCCATCAATGGCTACCATCCTGTTGCAATTTGCATTGGCAGTGAGGAGGCTAATAAATAATTTTTTTTTAAATAAATAAAATATTGTATGTATTTTATTTATATTGTAGGACCACCCCACAATGTGCCCAACTCAGAGGTTGCAACACTGTATGGTAAGCACATAATTGCAAGTTTTTGTTTTCTGTTTTCCACAATTAATTTATTAATCAGTCAATAATCAATTAATCAATCAAGTTTGTACAGTAATTATTAATTATTTATATATTTATAATGGTTATTGATTTTAATAATACTATTTTATAGATTTTATTCTTCCTAATCATATACATTAATGTATTAATTAATATAATTATGGATTTTAATTATTTATTTTCAATTAAAATATATTATGTTAATTATTTTCAATTAAATATATTAGACTGAATCAGCACCTCCAGCTATTACTGGGTACTAAATGTAAACAGACCTCATCGTTAACCACAGTGCATTCAGTTTGAACACAGTATATTGAGAAAGTTATGATGTTTTTTAGACAGCGACAAGAATGGGGAGATTCTTTTTTTTCATGCTGCGATAGCATTTGCCATGAATCCTTGACTTTTAGGTCTAAAAAGTACCTCAGCCGGCAACGACTTCACAGGAACAACATGCACGTCGTGAACGTACCGTACCTTTCCTTGAAAAACTTCAGGCTTTATTCCCACTATCCATTTGAGCCTTACCAAGCCAAACTGATAGTGTTTGAAAATTTAATTTTGGAACAAGTGATTTACCAATTGTAACTCACCAACATTTGCAACATCTATGATGTGCCTTACAGCAACAAGGCGAAGCCATGTTCAATGCACTGTCATCTCTCGATCTCAATAGATTGTAAACAAACCCTAATACAATACAAGTCACATGACCCGAGCCACCTATTCGGTCTATTATGGATTTTAATTGTTTATTATAAATAAAAATATAATAATTATATTATGCTGTATTATAAATATCAATCATTATTAATATTTAATCTTCTGAAATTATTTTTTTATTCTACTTTGTCTCCTTAGAATCAAGTTGCAAGATTGAGAAAATTGACACATCACTTTATCATCCATCAAAATTTGCTAAAGATGTTGAATGTGTGCAAACATTATTCTTGATGAAGCCAAAATAGTATGTTTTAATACAGGGGTGATCATAAAAATTGGTCGGAGGGCCAAAATGAATTTTTGATTTATTTCCTGTAACTTTGATGTTTCCAGTGTGCTTCCAAAAATGTTCATTCACTGTTTTTATACTACTTTTATGCCCGTTTTTAATATTAATTTTTGATAAGTGTTGGGCCATAATAAAACAATCACCGCCGGCTGTGTCACCAGCATGCCGCACTAATATTTCAGGATTATAGTTAGATGTAAAGTGCAAAATTCAACTTTTTATAACATTGGTGTTTAACACATCAATTGTTCAACGGCTCGACACGAAATGTGGAGTGGGGGATTGATAATTAAGTGAGTGGGCACTATCACAAAATCAGGTGATATTAGTTGATTTTTAACTACTAGAGTGTAATTTTTTTGCTTTGGACATTTTTCATTGGTGGGGAGACTGGAGGAATAGGCCTTTTTTGCAGCAGCTATCAGGTTGTTAAATGGTAAACTCTGAATGTGACTGATAATGTTTTTCTGGAATTTACAAGTTGTTATAGCTTTGTTTTGTGTTACATAAATGAATCATGAGGTTTAAATACAATGTTAAACAAGTGGCAATAAAGAGAGAACTTGAACTACAGTCTGGTCCATTGATTTTCTTCAAGGTTTTATGAATAAATTTAATATATATTTCACTATAAAATAAAAAATTGTTTTTAAATTTATTTGTCATCTGAACATTCTAGTTAAACTTTTGTATAGATTTGATAGGCATTAATTTTATATGTGGCGATTTATTTGATAGGCATTAATTTACATTTACGACTTAATACTACTATATATACAAATAGAAACAAACTGAGCACTCTCTTTTAGATCACATTCTATGCAATTGTAAAGAAAAAGTAAGTAACTCTGGTGTAATTCGCACTGGACTTACTGACCATTTCATGATTTTCTGTACTAGGAAAATAGCATAGTGTAATGATGCCATAAGGGAATAACAATTCGATCTACTAAAAACTATAATAAAGATACATTTTTAAATGAATTAAGAAATACTGACTGGTCTTCTGTTCTTTCTTCGACCGATGTTAATAGTGCATGGCGGCTCTTCTCCAAACTCTTTATCAGGGCTCTCGACATGTTGGCTCCTGTCAAAACCATTAGGATCAGACAGCGCACTGAACCATAGATCACAGGAGAAATCCTGAATGCCATACATGAAAGAGATGCGTTGCTGAGGAGGTGTTGAGGAAGAGTGGCCATGCTCCTGACCTTTACTCTAGGTTTCGTAAGTTTAGAAACGGTTCAGAAAAACATCAACAAAGCTAAACGTCAGTTTTTTGTAAATAAAATAGATGAAAACAGAAACAATCCGAAGAAGATATGGAAAACTTTAAAAGACCTTGGTTACTCAGCTAAGGCTAAAGATCAATCACAGGTTGTTATTAATAAGGATAGTAAAAAGGTTCATGAAGGTTGTTCAGTGGCCGAAATATAACAATGTCTTTAGTACTATTGCTGCCAAACTTATCAATATGTTAATACCATCTCCTTCATATATCTACTATACAATATCAAATACCTTCATTCATTGCATTCTATTACTTTGTTGTCAAAGATTCATTCTCACTTCAAGAAGTCAGTGCCGATTTCGTCTACTCAGAGCTTTGTGGTCTCGATTCAACCAAAACCACTGGTCTAGATGGAATTCCTTCTCGCTTCTTGAAGGATGCTGCTTGTGTGATTTGTGAGCCACTCACCCATATAATTAACCTCTCTATCACAGTGAAACTGTGCCTGTTGATATGAAGTCTGCAAAACTTAAACCACTTCACAAAAAAGGCAGTAAGCTTGATTTTGGTAATTATAGACCAATTAGTATTTTAAGTGTAGCGTCTAAGATCCTCGAAAAGGCTGTATTAGTTAAACTAAATCCTGTGTTGGGATTTAGAG